TTGAAAATAAATTAGATGGTTACATTGCATACTCTTTGTTTCTTGCTTTATTCAAAATGTTTTGGTTTTGGAAGCTGATGTCAACATTAGAAAGCATAGCCTACATGAAGTCATATTATAGTAACTCAATGCCTATCAAATAAGTAATAAAAATTCGCCATAATTCATCAAATATCCGTGGCTTCCACCGGGGGCCCTAGGCAGCCCCCCTGGCCCCCAGCCAAGTGAGACTCGATTCGCTCCACTAGCCCACTAGTCATCTTACTAAAGACAGGCAAGATAAGCCCCTCTCCGACTAGGGGTTTTTTCAGCATATGAGTTACAAGAGAATGCAGAGTTGCTAACTCGGCAAAAACTCTTCAGTGCGCTCGTACTTACTCCGTCAGGCAGGTCCTGGTGCCACCCCTGTGGTCAATATTATTAAAAGAAGATGATATTTACACTTTTTATTTTACCAAATCAAAGCCATGTATTTCTGAGACAAGAAAGAATTTTTTTTTTAATTACAAAATAGAAAATGAATCAATAAACAAAAGTTGTTTAAATAAATTAAAAAAACATAACCTTCATAAAATACAAAAGCACCATTCCATCCTGTAATTGGTGAGTTATTTGCTACTGCATGATACTTTCTAGTCTCATTTGTGAAGCAAGAAAGAACCTTCCTTTTTGTCTCAATTTCAATTATAGAATATGATGAATTGATGAGCATCTGGGAATATAGTATTTTCGGCCATCCAGAGGTTGATATTCTTTAAAAAAAATCTCATTTGGGAGGGGATCCTTCTCAAAACCCCTTCCCCCAGCTCGAGCCTATGAGCTCAAGAGATGTGTATAAGAGACAGGTTAATTAATCATGATTACATGAACATAAAGTGAAGCAATTCACACAGTTATTTGGTGTTTGATTTTCAAAACAAGTTCATACAAGACTTAATTTACCAGCAGATATTCATAATAGCCTATATAGACCTATTTGGTTATTTATTTATCAATTTAATATGTGGTTTGTAAAATCATTCATTCAGACACATATTTTTTAATAATTATTTATTAAAGACCTTTCATTCATTGAATTGTTTGCTTTCATATGAATTTTAGTTACTTGATTTGGATAAATTATTACTATATTTATTTATTCCAGGTAAATATTTCTTAAACATTATAAATATCAATTAATTAATAATTTACTTATTTGTTTATTCATTATTATGTATTTATTCAAGTATAAAACAATGACAGTGGTAGATTATTAAATAAATTCATTGGATCCTACGATAAATATGTATTAGAGGTTCTTTTTGATGATCCAATTTTTAGGGCGTAATCACAGGGGTGGCTCCAAGATTTGCCTGATGGGATGTTCGAGGTCCCCAAAGCATGAGGTGGACATGGCCCTTAGATTCTTTTCCCCAACAAGATGGAAGATTTTGCTGTCAAAAACAAATGAGTGGTTGAGTGTTTCTTAAAATGTTCTGAAAGAGGTCCAGGGGGTGAAGCCCCCAAAAAATTTGACAATTTAGGGGTTTCAATTTTAGAGTCTACTAATATGTGCAAAATACATATAAATTTTTTGTTCTTTCTGGCAAATTGTGTTTCTTCTTCTTGAAGGGAGCCCTGGCCACATTATTTTTTCCCCATACAGTTCAGGCAGAAATTATAGAGGGCACTATTTAAGGTCATTTAGGTGAACTAATAACATGTAATGCATGTATGCTTGACTTGTGGAATATGAAAGCTACGGTGTAGTTAGGGCATGGAGGACTTAGTTTAAAATCTAAATTAATCCATCCATGGTTAGGGTAGGCCAAAATCTCTTGGTAGTCAGTCGAGATTGAAGTGTATACAGTTGATACAGAGTGAACTACCGTAATTGACTATTACTGTAATTACAAGATAGTATAATACATTCTCCAAGTATCGAAATGCACGCCATCGTGTTGGGGTTCGATATTTCAACATTAATTATGTCATCAACTGTAATTAATTAACATACAATGTGGTCTTTGAAAGTGTAAAAGGGCAGCGCTGAATTTCTGGTCGATTGTTTGAGTAGTGTAAAGTATAGCAATAATTAACTACTATAGTGCTACCGTACTGATTCTTGATTCTGAAGAAATGTTTAGAAATGCTCGGACACACAGGTACAATTCTATGTATTTTTTTAATGTTGACTTCTTACAAATAGCTGATACAAATATTGATTTTTTGTATTCTTTTAACCTTCTAATCTATGAGAGCATTTTAAAAATTAATGGGGTGATGTATGCACTCCCAGCTTTAATCTCTGCTTTTGTGCAGTGGTTCATTTTTCGGACCCCTTTTTCCGTCACGTCGGACCCTTCGTTAGAAAAATTCTGGTGCCACCACTGCTTCGCTGTGATTATTTTTTTAACATTAATTTTATAATTTTTTGAAAAAATTTCAGCTACCATATTTTAATCTAACCTCTGTGACAATGCAAATATACATATTTTTAAGCTGGGCTTATGCGCCCTTGTAACTTGACTCAACTCAACTGACCTTTAATAATTTAGCCTGGTTTGTAAAATGTACTGGTGTTTACAAGACTTCTGTAATACCATAAAACCTCTAATTGAAACCCTGGGCTTTTTATTTTTTTAATTATTTATTTAAATTGTTTTTTTTTTTAACCATTGGATGCACTTCTTTTCAAGGCTACTTTTGCAAAGTAAAGAGGGGGGCTTCTCAGGAGTTGATCGAGAAATTTCCAAAAGGGGGGAGTTGCCGGAAGGGGGACCGAAAGTTGGGCCGATTAAGACAACACTGTCGTAGGGGGGTCCAGGGGGCATGCCCTCGCGAAATTTTTGTGTTCTAGACGCCGAAACATAGCATTTGAGGCATTCTGGGCTATCATTTTTTTCTTTTTCTCTCTTTTTAACTACCTAAATCATATACAGTATTTTTACTTTTTATGATGATGAAATAATAAAATGCTTACAAACCCCCTTTTAAATATATCCCTATCCCACTACTTTGAATCAGATTATTTACGAAGATTCAAGTTTATAAGAAAAATTAAATATATACACAAATAATCAATCTGACTCTAATTCATTCTGACTCTTGACTTATTCATTTAATGGATGAATGCCCATAGGTGTATTTATAATATACACTCTGTTGTGTGCTTGTTAGGTTTTTTATACAGAAAAAATATACAGGTACTAAAGAAAGAATAAACAAACTTGCAAATATCAAAATTTATGAAAATTCATGTTCATCTGTTTTGACTATTTTGACTATAATTGTCTGATCTTTTATCAGAGATTCCTCTCCTTTTAGTGTTAAACAGTCTGCTGTCCTCAATGAAGTCGTTTGCCGTTTGTTTATGAAGTAATAAATTTCTCCAATCATCTGGCTCTGTTTTTGGTAATTCATTGATTCTGTCCCTGAGTGCTGTAATTACTGTTTCACTGCATTGCAGTGCCTTCATCACTCTCAATAATTGATTAAGAAAAGACAGTTTTGTTTTATATCGGATAATATTGCTTTAAATTCATCCATTTGTACTTCATTTACCTTCTTTTTTCTTTTGTAGATTGTCTCTACTTCATTTTTCATTTTGTCTCTATTCTCTTTTACTTTTTTAAATATTTCTTCTGCATGATTGTCTATATCTATTAAACATGTGTCTTTATTTTGTTGTAATTTTGTAGCATTGTGGATAACAGCTTTGAGACCACCTTCTAATTTGTTTATGAAGCGTTGTGCAGATTTTTCTAAGGTGGCTGAAGTTTCTTTAAATGTTTGGAATGTGTCTGAAATGTTGATTGGTTTGTGTTTTCCATCCCATGCATTGTGGTCCATAAGTATACAATTCACACAGATTGGAGTTTTACAATCTGTGCAGTAGAACTCCAAAGTTTTACTGTGATGTGAACACAGAGGTGGATGTAACAAAGTCATCTGAGAGGGGCTCATTGATGCCAAACAGAAACTATGAAGGCAGTTGAGGGATTTTGGATTTTGAAGTCTCTTAAAGCAGATAGTACACTCTAAGACCTTCTCATCAACATGTTCCAGAAACTGATTCAACTTACTGGTAGCCATCTTGAATTGATATCCTGTGAAATTTAAATAATAGGTAATATAATTATTATCATTTGAACTGGATAAATAATAATGTCATGCAATCTGATGACCCTATAGAAAATAATGGCTTCTATCTCCTATTTTGTATAGGGTCTGATAGTCTTTAAGAGGATCATACAACAAGCAGAGTACTGCAGAGTAGAACAGAACAAGTGGTGAGGAAATAACTAGAATAGGAGATTACACTGAATTTTTTTATTACATTCAGTTTTTTTTTATTATTATTATTTTTTTCTTTGAAATGCATTTATTTAATTTGTTTATTTATAATGTATTTTAATATCAAGTCAATTGTAGGTGTTGTACCAACATAAAATCAAAAGCAATATGAACATTTCTGGGCGCATTTAAAATTATAACAATAGTTATAAACCTTGTTTATTTGCGCTATATAAATCCATCTATTATTATTATTATTATTAACATTTTTTTTCATTTTTTGAGCAAGAAGAAACTTCCTTTGTTTCAATATAATTATAATAATAAATTGTAAAGAGTATCTGGAACACCTAATAGATGACTTGTTAAACTCTTTTCTTTCTATTTTGTTGATATCAGAACACAGATGAGGCGGAGGCGGAGCTTAGTATTTACTGTGTCATCTGGTTCGCCGAGAACCATCAGACATTTTCAAATATGTTTAAGAAAGGTATGATCAAATATTTGATTTGTTAGTTAGAAATCTTTCTTTATTCTGGATACTCAGTATTTTTACACTGTTCTTC